CATTAATTTGTTTTCACTTCCTGTTTGAAAAATTTGCCTTTTCAGCTCTCTTATGTTTTTCTGAACGCGCTGAAGCCCGATTCTATTTTTGGCACCTGATCGTTTCTTCGCGACACACGAAACAATTAGAATTATCTTTCGAGCACTCTGTCTAAAGCATATCTCTTTATGACCGGCTCGAGGTTGAAAGCGGATTAAAAAATCATGATAGATCAAGATTATTTTATTACATATCATACACTGTCAAATCGATTTAGGTCTTCCAAATCTTAGATCAAACAAAACAGGGGAAAAAAAAAAAAGAGAATTTTATTTTAAAAGAAAAGATTATGATTACTAGACATCTCACTTACCAGCAATGAATGTCACCCAAAACTGCATCCCGAACCAAGTTCCAAACGAAATCAAATGAACCAGTCGAATCGTGGTTGTAAGCAAATGGCCTTTTTGGATTTCCTCAGAGATTCGCGAAGACATGGAGACTATTACGCAAAGGAAACACAACCCTAATAAATTCAAACACACTTGAAAAGTCATCCTGAAATGTGGTGCTTTTTCTGTTTCCTTTTCGAGAAAACGGTTTTTCAGTTCACACGGTCGCGCTGTTTTGACGTTATTAGAGGAACTGATGCCTTTTTTATAGCAGAGGTCACGTGCAAATCAACATGATTTCAACATGTCACCACGTCATTCATTTCAACGCAAACAATAAATTAGTTGACAACAATTTCCTGATGTAATTATCACAGATTGCTCACTTACTTTTGGCGTCGGGAAAACCTTTGTTCTTTGAAATTGGAAGACATTTAGAGGTGACTAATTTAAGGTTTGTTGTATTGCGCAAAATACGTTTCTCCACTTCTTTGGGATTTATGATTTTATTGGCCTTATTTGAAAACAGAACACATGTTAGGTCAACCGGAACAAATCTTCTCATTTCGGCGAACGTGATCTAAGTCATCACAGCTGAAAAATTTGTGAATTGTTTTCTTTTTAAATTCAAAGGCAAATGGTTAATTATATACGCAGCTGTTTATTTTATTTTAACCCTGTCTGGCAATGTAGCCCATTTTGCGGGCCAGATTGGAGAAATATTTTAGCCCGTCGAAGGCGAGAATCAATCGATCATGCGATGCAAGAAGCTTATATACAAATGAGCTAGAGATAAACTCGGTCTTATCTTTCATGCCTTTTACGTTTGTTTAAAAATTCAAATGGAAAGATTTTGTAATTTCTAGCCAGCTTAGCTCAAGGGCATACTTTAACTGAAGGAAAATAAGGTGAAAATAAACTTTTTTCTAAATATAATTTATAACTGCGTGTTACAAACCGAAACGAAAACTGTAATAAAAAAGTAAAAAACTTTACTTGCATATTTTTGAATTTATGGGCAATTTTTTTTTTCATTTGGGGTTTGAGAACAGTAACATGATTGAGCAGTTTCACAATATAGTGGTGTTGCTTCCCTTCACAAGGGAATCACGCCACGATTCAGGGAAGTCAAATGATCCTGGAAACACTTGCTGACAATGTATTTAACGAAAACATCTGTAAAATTGGCCATATTTCCTGTCCGTGACAGCAATTATCTCGTTTATTTAACTGGACGATCAAAGAGACATTACATTCCGTAAAGCACAAGAAAGTAGCTCCAAATGTGTTTTAAAAGAAGGAACAGGATATGATTAAGAAAAACCTGCATCAAGCTGGCATTCCAAGACAGCTGAAGTTAGCATTTTTTTAAGAGTGAGTATTTGTTGTAAATGGCATCGTTGCGGCTGTAATACTTATTCTAATTTTTATACACTTCCATTTAGTACTGGGAAGGAGAGATTTCTCTAACAATCAAAGTTCCTTTATGTTGGTGATCATTTCCTTTAATCTCATGATCTTAGTGAGTGATTCAGCAGTAAAACTGTACGGAGATATTAGATGCTGGTCACTCTTAGGACCTCTTTGGATTTAAATGGTTAACTGTTTCTGAGAGAGCATAACCACTTCCTAAGAATCTTGTAGAATGCCTGTCACATCATTTAAAATCTCCTCTGTTTCCGTTATTATTGATCAGAATCAGAACAATTTTTTTATCATTTTTATTGCATCACGTTCCAAATAACGGCTGCGTTGAGGGGCAGTTGTTTTTTTAAGTTCTGAGTGAAAACTATTTCACTCAATGAAGAGATCCCGTGCTGCTGTGCATCTGTTCAATAATAGATTACAGATGACGACAAAATGTGGTAGCAACGTGCGCCTCGTGTTTCACTGATTTTCTTACCCGATTTTGAAGTATTCTTTGATCTATCATTGAACATGTACGCACGATAACATTGAATCTGTTTGTTTTGTAATATATAGATTTAGCCAAGCCTAAAAGCGGAACTCGCATTTTTTTCTCCCGCACGTCCCAAGGGCACAACGCCTTGCCCCGGCCAGGACTTGAACCTGGGTCGTCCGACTCGGAGCCCAGTGCACTGATCACTGGACTATGGGACAAAGCCGTGGAGTTGGCGTGCCCGCGGTACAGTTGACCACGCATGTTAAAAGTAGCACCTTGTACGGTCGTGCGGTCGTACGGTCGTACGGTCGTACGGTCGTACGGTCGTACGGTCGTACGGTCGTACGGTCGAACGGTCGTACGGTCGTACGGTCGTACGGTCGTACATCCAAATTTTTTCGGCTTGATGGGTTACTACTATTTTGTATTATTATGGGGCTACGCTCTGCGAGCTCCGCCATAACAAATAATAAGATGCATGAAAAAATGTTATTAGTTCTGATTGGTTCAGGTCGTTAAGATAAATGCAGTTTTCAGGTAATTCAGTGCAGATTAATTCAGGGCATAGAAGTAACAAACCAGAATGAACAATTCCTCGAACTGTTTAGCCGGACTATGAACTTTTTGCGCGGTTGTTTTGACCGAACTCACAATGTCACTTGCAGGGTTTGAATAAATTATTTTTGCACTTAATGCGCGCGCTTTGCTTCTGCATTATCATAAGCTATCTCGTATTTTTTCATGCATATTTTTAATACGTAATCACATGATTTTTCTTGTGCAATTTGGAATAAATAAGCACTTGTAAATTTTGTTAGTCTTTGAAAAAATTTACTCTTGCTTATTAATTCCAAATTGCACTCGAAATCATTTGATTACTTATACGAAACAAAGACGTCCTGTGCCTTCCGAATGATGGCAAATGAAGACCGATTTGTTGAACAGTTTGTTGAATTGTATTCTTCATATATATATGTGAAAGAGAAGATGTCTCAAAATATTTGAATCGGGGTTCAAAAGTTAAACACGATTTAAAATTTAAACTTATGAGTGTATTTTTTGCAAAAGGCTAACCACAAAAACTAAGCCTCGAACTTTCCTTAGCGGGATAAAATCGAGGCGGGAGGTTGGATACCACTTAAAAACGGATTAATCACCGAATTTATTTTTTGATAACTCTGCATTGCGTCGTATCCAAATAAATTACCTTGAAAATGACTCTTCTTGCTATCATTTTATTATTTTGCGGTTAAACCGCGCAATTTCTCCGCTTTAATCTCCATATTTTGCGTTCAAAGTTAAAGTTATCATAATTTTGACACTCTGGCCCAGACCGTGTCCTCATTAATTCTTATTTTCTGCAGAAACACGTTAACTGACGGTATAAGGTTCTAAGGTCATTAGACTTTTACCTAAAAGTTTCCTCGTTTTTACCCGTTTATCAAAACTAAGCGTGCGTCAGTTATAATTGAGCTTTTCCGCGTTCAAAACTTTGACAATCTTTCTATAATTTTCACAATCTTTCTGTACAGTTTCTTTCATTCCCCTCGCCAAATAAAAACAGGCTAACATGAATCAAAATTTTCTATTTTCATTGTTGCCGAATACTTAAATTGTCAGCTATGTCCATTTGGTAAAAATAAAGCTTGATTTCTCACTAATAAATACATTTTGTATATTTACATGGCGGTCGCAAAATTGACCTAGTTACTCGAGAATGCATTTTCATTGTTTTAATGTCTCATCTTGACTTATCTTGAATGAAGTGTTCGATAACATTTCTTCTCTTACGTACGTAACTGAAAGGAAATGCCATTTTGGCAATCAGATTTTAAGTTTGAGGGCTTGGCTCTGAAAAACGGTTGTGTTGCTATTGAGTGAAACGCACCTCATAAATTCACAACATCAGAGTCAGAAATCCTGTTATCATGGCAACTTCGGTAAAATTTTTGTATGCCTTCCGCCTGGTCGAAATTTAATTTGACCACTTGAAAGTGAACCCAACAGATGAAACGGAAGTAAAGGTTACTTCTTAGAAAAGAGGATTTCGAGAAATCAGTTAAAAGACCGAAAGAAAACACACATGATTTCCGGCTTGCATATCGTTCCGTCGAGGAGATTAAACTTACTTACAAATTTTCACGTCGACCTTGTCAGAAAATATCGCTCTGTAGAAATGACAACAACATTTGTATTCCTTATCACAGATTTACGAAAGACGAGACCAAGGTTAAGAGTGTTTGAATTTGATCAATTATTATCCAGAGGCATCCGTAGAACTAAATATGCTCTGTAAAAGATCAGCGTTCGGCTCCTGTAAGTATTTTGAAGAGGCATTCAGCGGACTTCGTACTCACTCTGGGGCAATTTTTAACAGAATACCAAGCAGTGGAAACGTTTTGTTTAAAAGCACACAACCAAACGATAAGAAGACTACAAGTCATTTAGTGGAATTTGATTATAACATAGCTTGAAAATTTGAGTTGCTATGTACACAAGGGTGGCGTGGAGAAATCTCTTTAAGAACAACTGCGTTGGAAATGTCACAGGTGTTTCATACGTTTGCTGAGTTCATCGACATGTGAAGCATTTGAACAGTTGATACGGAACCTAAGTAGCTAGAGTTGCTCTCAGCTGTGTCTCGAGCAACCCTTACGGATCTTTTTTTCCTTCCAAACTTCCCACCTGTTCCATACATCGATAACTGCATGCTGACGCAATGCTGGCGAGGTGACCGCACGCACAACGTTTGGGTCATGAACTTAAATACCGCGTTTACTACGTGCAAGAATGGGC